CCAGCATCAGTTTTGTTTTAAAAATTGTACCTGGACCTGTATATTTGTAAAGCTATTTATGGACCCCCAGACCCTGTCCACGCCCCCCCCAAGCCGTAGTGTTTAGCCCGCTGCTCGGCAACGGTTTAAGTCTTAACTTATTAACAGCTGAGAAGGCCTAAGCTTCGTTTAGAGGGGTCCCCGAGGATGTGTGCCCCGGCGCCGGGCACGCCTGTGCTCCAAGGCCCGAGCGGCCTGTCGCATCCATTAACAGGGCGAGGTGGCTGCGGCGCAGATGTGTCTGTCCTTTGGCCTTCGTTTCTCTAGGATTCTTCTTTAGGAGATTTTTTTTTGGCGGGGGGTGGGGTGGGGTGTGGGGGGGACCTAAAGCAAGCTGTTATTTTCATACAGGTTCTTCTAACAGCTGTGTGTCCCAGGCGGGGAGGCATATCCAGTGGGGACCAGCCCCGCGCGCAGGTTCCGATGTTATTAGATGTTACGAGTTTATATATATCTATATATATAATTTATTGCGTTTTTACAAGATGTGTTTGCTGTAGACTTAACACTTCTTACGCAACGATTCTAGACTTTTATAGCCCAGACTGCTGCCTTTCAGAGCTCAGAAGAGGAAGCCGTGAACTCGGTTTTGTCACTTTCCACACTGCCCGTGCCCAAGCTCGGGCGGCTGTTCTGTGCTCGCCAGCGGGCCGGCCTGGCCGCGGCTTGGGGCCGTCTGTTCTCAGGGCCCCGCCTGGTGGGGGCCAAAGGTGCCGGCCCAAACTGGCAGACATGCTTTCCCCAAAATAAACTGATTTACTTCTGACCCCTGCTCCGTGCCTTCTTGTCTCCTGCTGGTCTGAGACCCCAGAGCCACGCCATGTCCTCACTGCCTACTGGATGGGTTCGTTCATCCGCCTGACCTGAGGACAGGAGTCCCCAGCTCTCGCTGGGTGGCCCTCAGACTGAGGCTGGCTGCCTAGGTCACCGTCTCTCCAAGGGTTTCCAGCCCTGGTCTCAGGCTTGGATGGGACCAGTGCTGGTGAAGGCCAGGGGGAGGGTCCAGTGTGTCCAGCTGCATGGAGGCCCAATGCTGGCAGGGCAGAACCTCAGGGTCACTGATGGGCCTCACTGCCTGGGTCTGGGGTCCCCGACGGCAGGAGATGCAGACCACTTGGTGTCTGTGGGAGAGGACAGTGAGACCACCATGGGGGTGGGCAGAATGAGGGGGTACTGTGGGCCTGCTGAGCCCCCTGGCTATCCCCCAGTTCATGGAGACCATGTGGGTCTGCGGGGTGTGTGCATACAGCTGCAACCGATTCTGAGACCTCGCCCCCTGGCCCAGCCCCTGGCATCTGCTTACCTCGTCCGTGGTGCAGGGGAGGGTTCTGGGTGGGTCCCCCATGGAACCACCTGTAAGCACCCATTCAAGCAGACTGGGAGACTGCTGTCTGCACCAGGAGCCACCCTGGGGCCGGCTTCCTGCCCTCTGCCAGGGCTGGCGCTCTCCCCTTGGGCTCCACCAGTCCCCCCTGCACTCCCCCCCATGACGGGGTAGATGCTGCCTGCTGACCTGCTAGTTGGAGTGACAGCATCTGGTCCCCTCTGCTCCAGAATTCAGAGCCTGAGGGTGTGGGATGACAAAGCAGGGTGGGAGGGAACACAGCAGGGACCCCCTGGTGGCAATGGTGGGGAGTAAGTCTGGAAAGGCTTCCTGGAGGAGGCAGCAGTGCCCAGACCGAGTAGGGAGACAAGTGGGTTCAGGGACAGGTAGCACAGACCCTGGAACCCTGCACTGCCCAGAGCTGGCTGGCCCTCCCAGACACACCCCTGCCTTGCAACCCCGCTCCCACTCCCCGACCCTCATCCCTGGCTATCTCGAGGGGCGCATCCGGGGAGGCAGCCACTGGGCTGCGAACTTGCACTCTGGCTTTTAGGAAACTCGCGCTCCTTTTGCTGTGTTCAACTCACCTTCCAGGTGAGGGGGCTTTCTGGGGCTTGTTTCCGGAGAGCAGGCAAGGCTGCTGGGCCTCGGTCCAGGTAACAGACGCGGCCCAATACCTTGACCCCACTCAGGCGCTCTGGCACTATGCCCCAAGCTTCTGACCCCCAAGCCCTCCCGCCTGCTAGAGACCTCGTGTTTGTGTCCAGAGCGCTGGGGACAGGTAGCGACAGGGACTGGCGCGGCGAGGGAGCCCCGCGAAGGCCTGAGCCTGGAGGGACCACGAAGAGCTGCTTGGCGGGCGGAACGCGAGCCAGGGGCGCCCTCTAGCGTCCGTTCCCCCAGCGCACTGGCCTGCTGGCCGACTGGGCTCCCAGTGTCCACTCCGGACAGCGGGGGACCTGGCAGCTGCGGGGTGGACGGCCTCCACGGACGCCGGATGCAGACGTCGGCTGGGCGCTGGCCGGGTCTCGACAGGCCCACGCCGACAGGTTGGGGCGCTGGCCAGACTGGTACCTTCGAGCCTCCCCACCTCCACTGCGCGGCTCCACCTCCTCCTGCGGCCCCGCCCCTCACCTGCCCGGCCTCACCTCAGGCCCCGCCCCTCACCTGCCCCGCGCCACGTCCAGGCGGGGCCTCGCGCTCCGCATTCCCTTGCAGGCCTGGGGTGGCTCAGCGGCCTTCGGAAGCGTTCCCGGCCTGTGCCGGCCTCCCGCCTACCCCACTGGCTGGACACCGTGCCCGCACCCGCACCCGCACCCGCACCCGCGTCCTGGCCGCAGCTGGGGGTGAATACACTCGGACGCCAAAGCCAGCTCTCCGCCCCAGGGTCTTCAGAGGGCGTCACCGCACGTAAAACATGTGCTTGCAGCCCCCAGTGGAATGTCTCCAATCGCTGGACCACAGCCTCCTTAGCGTCTAGTCTGGGACAGCCCCTGCCCTTCCTCCCTCTGCCGGTAGCTTTGAGGGGACAGCCTGTCCTGTCCGGTGCAGGCCTGGTTTCCTGGACTCGTGGGTGGCTCCTCTGGGGCCAACACTCTCCTGCCCGGAGCTGGGGGGCAGTGCCTGAGCACAAGGCCAGAGGCCCTCATACCAGGCTTCCCATCTGCCGTACAGAATGGGTGGGGGCCAGCATTTCCGCAGCGGGACTGCCCTCCATAAAGAGCTTCACAGACGGACTGACTTCCTCCTGAGACAGGGCAGTCCCTGGCCCCTTATTCACCTGTTTCCATAACATGAAACTGGAGTGACCTCCATCCACGTGCCAGATGAGGCTTGTCTTCCTGAGCCTAACCCCGGGCCTGGTCTTTGTTTCCAGTCCATTCTCTTTGCTGTTCCGGTCCCTGCCTTGGCCAGGGGCATCCCTTCAGGCTGGTCTCGGCGAAGGGATGCAGGGGAGAGCGGTCCTGAGGCACCCGCGTGACCCAGGAAGCCTGGGCCAGTGCAGGGGTGAGGCCGCCTGGGACAGGCTGGACATACTGGGCTGGGGGGTTGTCCACTGAGCTGGAAGGGGCTGGAAGGGTGAGGGAGACCACCCTGGCCCTGTTCTGCTGTGGGGACCCTCTGCTGGGTGGCCCTCCCTGCCAGGCCTTGGCTCTCCACCCGGGGAAGGTACTCTGCCAGCTCTGCCCTGGCGCTGCGTGGCAGGCTGAGATGCGGTGGAGCCCGCCTCCTATGGGACTCCCTCAGGCAGTGGAGGCCAGCGCCTTTGGGCCCTCAGGGACTTTCAGAACAGACTGTGCTCTCCTGTGTGACCCCTCGGCCAGAGCCCCAGCCTCGCCCGCCCGGGAAACTGGCGTTTCTCCCTGGCCTGAGGCACCCACTGAGGGTTGGGTGGGAGAAGCCTGGTCAGGCAACGGCCACCGCACCAACCTAGACAAATAAACCATCATACAGCGACAAGTCATCAAGATAGCGCTTTATTAACCCTTTTTCTCAGATTGAACTGGGAGTCCAGTCACGAGCACAGGGCTCAGTGTGGGTGCACAGTGTGATGGGGAGACAGGCAGGGGACACTGGCGCAGAAAAAGGGGATACCTGGAGGAGAGGGACCCGGAATCCGGCTCCTGGCAGCACGTGCAAAGCCGGGGCCCGCTCGCCAAGCCCTTCTGCTGCGAGCCGGTACCAGACCCAGGCCACACGGCTGTCACGAAGGCGGACGTTCAGACAATCGTGAAAGTTTCCACCTAAACTTCTGAACTGCGTCAGCTCAGAAATCTGACTTTGAGCTATTATGAGAACATTAATTTGATATTTTAATAAAAACGTTATTTCTAAAAAAGATGCTTACACGTGTAAACCCAGGACGGAGTGGAGCCGGCCCCAGGACCCTTGGGGGACAGGTGGGGACGCAGCAAGGTCCAGGGGGTGCCACCCTGCCAGCTCCAGGGCCCCGCTGCGAGAACCACTGCCTGGAGAGCATTCTTCCAAAATTACAAAGGACCATTCAGTTCTACAAAGTCTGGATTTTGATACTCCCTCCAAAATGATTCCAGAAGCCACGTGCCCATTTCCTGAATCTCTAGAAAAGCAGGTGTTTGAGTGGAGCGAACGAGGAACCACGTGCTCAGAATTCCCGTTTCGTTTTCAAGCAGACAACACGCTCCTGACAGCACAGAACAGGTGGTCCAAATACAGCCGCCTCTTAAGCGCCTGGTCACACAAGACTCACTTCTAGATCCACCACGTGTCACACCTGCACCTGCACCCTAGTTCCAGCTACAAGAAACAGAGTCCAGGACAGAAAAAACCAACACAAAAGCGAAGCGGGGAGGCCTGCGGCAGGCATCGCCAGCCTCCCGAGCACTGAAGGCCGCCACCGGCAGCGCGCTCCCGTGTGCACGTGCGAAGCCCAGGGCGGGCGGGCTCCCCTCGAAGCTGCAGACAGCCTCAGAGGGCAGTGCCGCTCTGCAGTGACAGCACATGGGCGGAAGCACAGGGTGCCCGGCAAAGGCAGCGCGAGGGTAAGGACGGGAGCCGGGCGCAGATGACCAGGCCCCAAAGTGCTGTTGACCAGAACGACGGCCACAGCTCGCGAGCACAGCAGCCAAGCTCACAAGCAAGCAGGCTCCACCGCTGGAGCCGAGGCGGCTGCAGCACGGGACACGGCCATGGCAGTGAGGCGCACCGAGCACCCTGCTCAGGCAGCTGACAGGGGCCGCTACAGCTGCTGCCACTGTGCAAAGGTTTAACCCGAGAACACAAAATTTCGTTCCTAGTTCGTCAGGTGTCTTCTCCAGGGGCCGAGTACAGGGGTTCGGGTCACTCAGAAGTATCACTGTGCACTCCTTCCCCCAGCTAACCTGGCCACTCTGGTCCTGTCTTCCAATTCCTATGCTTGAATTGCCCTAAAAGAACGTTCTCGCCAGTAAGAAACTCAGCCTTCGAAGGGTGGGTCAGACAGAGCTGAGGCCACAGGATGCCCGACCCCACCCACCCCACGCAGCGCCACTCGACCTGAGCAGCCAGGTGTCAAGCGTGCAGGACGCCTAGGCTGCAGAGAGCTGAGGCCGCCCTGCCTCTGCACCCCAGGTGTGCCGTGCCGGCCTTGTGCTTCCGGTGCGGCCCGCTGCTGTGCTAGCCACGCCACAGCGTCACCTGCGAAAGCCTCCTGGGGTGCCACAGCACAGGACCAGGCGCAGCCACCACCTGCTCATTCTGAAAGCCGGGAGGGAGTCACAGCGACAAGCACATGGGGGCCCCGGTGCCACAGAGCCATGACGGGGGCACGATCGCCACGGGGCCAAGCAGATGCCAACTACCCAAACCAGGAAAAGTGCGGGACGCCACAGGGCCGTGCGGGGCTCGCACAGGAAGGGAGCCGGCTCCGAGCGCCCCAGGCCCCTCCCCTGCCTCGCTCCGCAGCGGCGACCGCCCACTCGCGGGCAGACTGGGGGGCGGGGGGCACTCTGCTTGTTAACTGCTTGAAGGATGCAGCGAGAATCAGAGGTGAATCGAGAAAGCTGACACCCGCAGACAGAAGGTCGCACGAGACACCGACGTCGCCAGAGCGCTGTGCTCTTCCGGAGGCCACGGGCGGTCCACACACGCTCTCCCCGTGATGGTCACACGGGGCTCTGGACACGCAGCACCGGTCCTGCCGACCGCTCGGGGGCCGTGTCCGCACGCCAGCAGAGTCCTCTCCGGTGCTGCGGCGGGCGTGCTGGGGGTTCCCAGGCCCAAGCACACCGCTGAGCCAGGGGACCGGTGCAGGGCCGGGACCCCCGCCAGGCGGCACCGTGCCAACGGCGAGAACGCAGACAACACGGGAGGGGCCGGGGAGTCCAGACTGACTGAGTCTTCGTGGAATGACGAAAATTGAAAATTACTTGATTATGGAAGTTTCTGATTTATTCCGGACAACGTATCAGGTCTGTCACTAAGGATCACCTCAAAGCAATCGCTCTCGGTGGCAGGGCGGCCGCTAGCCCTTGGCCTCGGCGGCCCCCTTCCCCGCCTTCTCCTTGGCCCTCTCCTTCTCCCCCACCTTCTCCTCCTTCTCCAGCGTGGCCACAATCTCCGCCATCTGGCTCGTGGAGATGTGAATGTCTTCTTTGTCCACGAGCTCGATCACCTACACACGGGAAGGGACAAGGGACTCAGGATGTGTCCTTGGCCACCAGCTGAGATGGCCCCTGGCACCTGCACAGTACACTGTCCACCAGGGAGGCCCCAGGGTCCTTCCCTGCCCTAGTCCGCAGAGCATCAGACCCTTACCCACCCCCGAGGGGCAAACAGGCTCCAAAGCCTAGGCCAGGTGACCAGCCACCAAGAGTCCAGTACTGAGTCGGAAAGTGGGCGACAGGGGTCGCATCCCTGCTGGGGCCGGGGGTCTGCCCAGGACAGAGGCCCCCGAGGAAGCTCCCTCCCCCATGGCTTCCCCGAGGCATGGACACCCAAGCTGCCCTCCACCAAGGAGGGCCCCTGGGAAGGGGCAGGTGACACAGGCCCGGCCCTCCCAAACTCTGCACTGGCAAGGCGATGACGCTCCTCCTGGGTGGATGGGGGGCTGTCAGGACGGCCTGCGGTCCACAGACCTCCTCGTGACCGCGGGCCCCCAGCCCAAGCCTCCTGGCACCAGAGTGTGCCACCCAGGTCACCTCTCAGGCCTCGGGTGTCGTGCTTCCTCCCACAACGTGGCTCCGAGAACTGCCCAGCACACCTCCCCTGAGGGGTCTGCACATGCCAGCCACCTCGCCACCAGACCTGGCCAGCGCCCCACAAGAGGCCAGTAGATGTTAAGTGTCCAGCCATAAAAGAGGCGGCCTGCTCTCGAGAGAGTCTCACGATGCAGAGTGAAGGCTGAGACGCCCTGGGTGAGGCCCCACCAACCCTGAGCGGGCCCGTCGCCCACCTTGACGAGGCCATCGATGTTGACTTTGCCGTCCTTGTCCTCGTCCAGTGCTGAGACCAGGCTGATGAGCTTGCTTTCTGGAATGTGCTTGATTTGCTTCATGGCACTGATGAGCTCACTGACGCTGATGACGGTCTCCCTGGGGGGACAGCCTGCATGTGGCACAGCTGGCTCACACCAGCCTCCCGGGCTCCCCAGGTCAGGCCACCCAGCCTCAAGCTCCCGCGCCCCTCCCCTTGGGCATACCCAGCCAGCTCAGACACAGAAAGGGGACACCACTTGGTCCGCAGTCTTGTGTGACAGTCCCCAGTCCACTCCACAGGTGGCAAGGACAGAGCACCCTGGGGTCAGTGTGGGAGAGGCCAGTGCACCGTGCTGCTTTCTGACCAGGGAGGGTGGGCAGGTGAGCCCACACAGCGGGTCAGCCCAGGAGGGGGTGCTGACCTCATCTGGGAGTGAAGGGCCTGCAACCTGGGGATGGCAGAGCCTGGCCCCCAGGGCGCCCAGTGTCAGGGGTGACCGCCTGGCTGGTGGTTTCACTCCCTTGCAGCTGCCACCAGCCTCCCAGGCACCTGGGGTCTGCCAGTGCAGAGGTGGCCCTCATGCGAGAGCCACTACTGAGTGCCTGCTGTGTGTCGGGGTTCAGGGCGAGGGAGGAGGCAGGAGAGGGCCCGACAACGTGAGGAGAGCAGAGCCCAGGGTGGCTGAGGCTGCAGGGCGGGAGGTGTGGCAGGCAGAGGGGACACGGGCTTCCGGGGTGGGGGCGGCTGTGAGCCGATGTACATTCAGAAAGGGCCAGCCAGCTGGCGGCTTGGAGGAGTGGGCTGGGAAGGACACGGTGGGCGAGGGCGGACAATGGCCGCAGTATGTGCATTGGGTGCGTGGGGAGGGAGGTCCCAGGACGGTGACCACGGAGAAGCTGGGCGGTCAATGTGGCCGGGCTTCGGCCAGAACCGCTGGGCAGCAGGAAGGGGCAGCTGGCACCCAGACGGAGAGCTGGGCTGTCAGAGGTGCTGAGCCCCGCACTCACCCCTCGGGTGTGGCCTGGGCGGCGGGGCCCAGCTTGCCAGCCTGCTGGGCGGCCTCCAGCTGCGCGAGCAGGCCGTCCATCTGCCCGATCATCTGCTGCACCCGCCTGGTCAGCCTCTTGCTGGCTTTGGACTCCTCCACATCCATCTCCTTGCCCGACTTCGAAAGCTCCTTAATCTCTTGCAAGTCCTAGTGAAATCGTTTGGTTGTAAGAAGCCCAGGCCGCCCGCCCGTAAAGTAAGTTAGTCCAGCCCAGCTCCAGCTGTGCTGAGGCACTAACAGCTGGCAGGCCCGCGGGAGGCGCGGCTGTCCTGGTCTCTAGCGCACAAATGTGTCTTAATTTGCAAATTCAAGCGTTTTGTAGCAAAGGTAATGGAATCTGTTTTGAATCTCAGCTTTCTTCATATCTGTTCAAAGACTAAATAAATGGACAAGAGAATCAGGGCACGGTAGGCGTCTTCCTAAACTCTCAGCGGGTTTTGCCCTAGCCACCTCCGCCGGGGAGCACCCAGGGGGCCGAGAAGGCCGATTTCCTGCAGGGCAAAGGGTCAGCAGAAGGAAAGTCAAAAACCGCAGGCTGTGTCGCCCACCTCGAAATGACTGAGCCTTTCCCAGGAAAGCTCTGAAAGCACAGTTCTTTTAACTCGGGTTAGGAAGTACTACAGACAAACTGAAAAGACAAGTTTTCCTAAAAAAAAAAAAAAAAAATCAGCTACAAAAGAAAGAAGTCTCTTTTGAGGACTCGTGAATGAAAATAATATTTTACTTGTCAAACGACTAGATTCTTCATCTGATACCTTCACGTATTCAAAAAACTAAAAAGGATGGGTGTCTGTCATGTGCAGGGGTGAGTGGCCAGGTTCCAGGAGAAAGGGACCCACTGCAGTGGCTGCAGAGAGCGCACTGAATAAAACGAAGAGACCAGTTCTCGCCCAGACTCCCCCTGGCCAGCTGGTCAAACACCCGGCGGTGGCGTCACTGGACACCGCGGGGCGGGCCGAAGAGACCGGCCCACGCTGCAGCCCCCCGCGGCCCCCGGCCCGCACCTCGCTGTAGTCCTGCACGTCCTCCTTGAGCAGCTCCAGCTCCTCCTTCTCCTTCAGCAGGGACGACTTCTGCTCCTTCAGCTTCGAACAGGCGTCGCTGAGTATGTCGATTTCCTCCTTGGTTATTTCCTCCTCCTGGGAAGAACCGGAGCGCGGGAATGAAGGGCGGCACCACGTGCGCCGTCTGGCCACAGGCCACGGCGGGGCCTCGGGCTGCGCGCGAGGCCAAGAGCACGGGCACAGGCAGGCTTTGCTCTTCCCCGCACAGGGACCGCCGTGAACGTGCCACCCGACACGGGACACTACTGAGACCAGCACCGGCTGAGAGAAATCTCGGTCACCCCCAAGCTTCCCTGTGCCCCATGACCCTCCCTGCCGGCCGCCACCCCGGTCCCCCCCGCTGCTGGGAGTTTACATGCTGGGAGTTTACACCAGAGCAGACTGGTCAGGCCGCGGGAGCTCGTTTTGTCTGACGTCCCCCCGCCCGGCCCCCGTGCCCTGGTGTGTCCCAGACTGCCCTAAGTAGGCACACCAGACTTGCTCGTCCACGCCTTGGTTCTTCTAGGTCCTTTGAAGTTGCATGTAAATTTCAGAATGACTTTGTGAATTTCAACAAAAGAGGCTCCTGCGGTCTTGACGGCTGGGAAGCCACAAAGCAGCTGGAGAGCACAAGCATCGGGAAGTGACCACGTCCACATGCAGACACCTCCCCTGCTCCTGGCTCCTGAAGTCACACGGCGGTCGGTGTACAGGTCCTGCGTGTGTTTCCAACGTGTCCCCGAGCAGCCCGCTGAGCGGACGCCGTCGTGACCCATCTCGAGAGCTCCCGGGGCCCCACCACCGGGACACGCAGGGGTTCTCAGATGCTCGGGTCCCCAGCGAAAGCCGGCGCAGCCCCGCCTCCTCCTCTGCCGTCCGCCCGGTCCCACCGTGTCCTCGTCTGACTGTCCTGGCAGAGCCACCATGAGGATGGGAGTGAGCACGGCCGTCGCACTGTCCGCTGTGCTGGTGACAGCGTTTCCGTCTGGCTGAGGGTGACCCCTCCCCTCGCTGCTGGGGACTCGGACGCAGGTGCCGGGACCTGACTGGTGCTCTCCCCACACCCCCCCGAGATGGTCACGCATGGCTTCCTCCTGGCTGGTGGGACGCTGGTCACAATGACCGATGTTCTCACTCCCTGGAAGAGCCCACGGAGTCACGACGTGTCACCCTTTTCACAGAAGCCTGACTGCGTTTGACGTGCTACACGTCCGCTGAGGATTTTCACTCCTGTGCTCGCGAAAGATGCGGGTCTGTTTCCTCATCTCCCTGGTTTTGGTGTCAAGTGACGCTCATCTCAGAACGAGTGGGACGGGTCCCTTCTTTCCACTTCCCGCCAGGACCGTGTGGCCCTGGGAGGGTGTCGCCCAGACGTGGACGTCCCCGTAACTTCCCCGGGGCAGCTGCGCAAGCCTGGGGCTCCTGGGGGAAGGTTTTCAGCTACGAACTCAGTTTCCTTACAGGAAGTGAGCTACTCGGGTTCCCTTCCCCCAGACAGACGGCAACCCCAGTAAAGCACAGGCCTGTGGGGCCCCAAGGACAGGGCCCGTGTTCTTCCCGCTCCTTATGGTCTCTTTCCAGTGAACCCTAGGCCTTCACTTCAACTTTCCAAAGGTTTGTTCTTCTTGCTGACACATCTTTGGCAATCTTCAGGCCCTAAGTTGTCCTGTGAGTTTTCTACGTCCTTCCATGTTGAAGTTTTTAATCCACTGGAAATGGGATGCACCTGTCCATGAAAGCCAGCCACCCAGCCCCTTATTGAGAGGCGCCCCCTTCTCCCAGAAGCCCCTCATGGGCCCGGCCAGTCTCCAGCTCTGCTCAGCTGTCCCCACCCACACCACCTTAAAAACAGCCCTGACCCTTCCCAGGTCACCCTTTGGGTCCAGCTCTGCCAGGCTCCTGGAACCTCCTCTTCCAGGCCTCGACGCACCCGTCACACCCTGTGCTCATTTCCATCTGTCCCCTGGGACGAGTCTCAGGAGTGGCCCCAGTGTCCCCCATGGGCCTGAAGGCCATTACTGGAGGGAAGCAGAGGTCCACCAGGCTTGTCCCAGGCCGCACCAGTGGCCAAAAGCAGCCCACAAGGCTCTGGACAGCCCATCGCACCCACCGCCCCACCCCCCTCAACGTGCTGCCTCAGCGGTCACACCGTGCTCGGTAAAAGCCCCCGTTCCATTCTGGCACTATCGCTCCTCACCGTCAGGGGAAGGGACCTGGCGGCCGGTGGCCTGGCTCTTCTGAAGGCTTCGCACTGTGGCTTTTCCTTCTGGCACTGCCCATGCCACGGCCACGGCCACCGACCACCTCACGCCCAGCAGGGCTCACTCTGCAGGCTGCGTCCACTGGCCCTCGGTGTACCCTCCTCCGGACATACCGTGTCCACCCAGAGTCCTCGCCCTCGGCCGCATGGGCGGCCCCTCCGTGGCCTCACTCGGAATCCCGACATAGTAGCCGCCCTGGCCTCTCTCCCACTCCCGCTGCTGAATGGACGCGGCCACGTGGCTGGTCAATATCTGCTCCCAGCAAGGTGCCCCAGACGCTGCTCCACCCAGGGTGCCCCCTGTCCCAGGCCACGGGAGGACTCCCGACAGCAGCACCCCAGCATGGCAAGGCCACCCGGAGACGAGCACCTCCACGTCACAGGCTGTGGGTGCCTGACGTAGGTCGCCAGGGTGGGGGGCAGACGCGGACCTCCACGGAGGGAGCAGCCAGCTCCCCTCCCGCTACCCGCTCTGGCCAACGAGAGATGAGGTGCCCTGCCACGCGGACGTCATTTCACCCTGCAGACGTGCAGGCCCAGCTCCCCTGGGCCTCGCCAAGGACCTTGCAGTGGCTCCCCGTCCGCGAGCCGGACCCCGCGCCCTGCTGCTCGGCTCCCCTCTGGGGCGAGGGCAAGCGTCCGTTACCTTCACGCCCTCCAGGACTGGGGCAGTGTCCTTCAGGACCTCGGACGGCAGGACCACATCGGGCACTTCCGGCTGCAGCTCAGCCACCGGTCTTCCAGGGCCAGCTCTGGCCACGACTTCCGGCTGCACTTCCTTCTGAAACACAAGGCCGCTGCCGGCTCAGCACACTCACCGCACCACAGCCTCCCCGAGGCGTCCTGTCAGCACGGACGTGCCAATGGCCTGCGACGTGACCGCCAAGACTCGTAGACGCCCACCATTGACCGGGCAGCAGTGACTGACGCGCGCCACGAGGCTTCACTGTCCGACTCTGAAAGCGTGTCCTGCACCTGCGCACCTGCACCCCGGCGTTTCTGGGCCGCCCGGGCCCCCGATCAGCAGTCGGGCTCACGCGTCCTCTCTAATCCTCTCCTGACAGCCGCACACAGCCGGCCGGTGAGTTGCAGCAGGAACGTGTCATGGTCACGCGTGTCAGGAGCAGCAGTCCACCCACAGCCCGGGCCGGGGTCTCGGCAGGCCCCACTGTGCTGACCAGCACCCAGACTGAGGGAGAGCCAGCCAACTGATGGGTCCCTGGCACCCCCGGGCCTGCCTTCCCCTCCGAGCACTGCTGTCCCCCGTGCCCAGCCATTCCAGAGCCCCAGGTACTGGCCGTGAGGCCGTTTCTCCAGACGGCGGAGCACGATGCCCTGCAGCCCGCCCCGGAGCCCCGCCGGCCACTCACCGCCGCCTCGGAGAGCCTCTGTAGCTCCTTCTCCCGGAGCTCCTGCTGGATGGCCGCCTCCTCCTGCAGCGTGGCCTCCAGCTTCGCCTTGTTGTCCACCTGCTCGCCCTCCACCTCAGCCACCTTCACCTGCGCTTCTTTTGCCTTCAGAGAGGGGACACCTGTGAGCAAGCCAAAGGCCCGTGCGCACACGGCCACCACCCAAGAGGCCCCACAGCTCCCTGCCCATCTCTGACTGCTGTCACCAGCCAGGCTTCAAAGGGGGCAGAGCACGTTGCTGGGAAACACCTCCAGGCACCCGAGGGTCACCTCCGCACGTGTCACAGGAGCCCCCATTGTTCAGAGACAGCACAGACGCATGCGAAGGGGCGGGGACAGTGGGGGGGCCCGGGCTCCCACGGCCAAGTGGGTGGCTGTTGCCGCGGCCCCTCCCCTCGGCAGCAAGGGCCCCTCACAGAGCGCGTCGCAGGAGGGGTCTCCCAGCAACTCACCACGATCTCTGGGAGAGTCTGCAAGGTGGACTTGAGCTGGTCGGCGGGCGACAGGGTGTCTGGGAGGTACATGGCCCGGGACAGGATGAGCAGTGACGTGGGGATCTCCTGGTGCAGGTGCAGCTCCAGCCACTGCGGAAGGGGAGTTCAGGACCCAGACTCACCTGCCGGCCTCAGCCCCTACACCTGCGACCAGCAACAGGGCCTCTGGCCCTACAGCGTTCTTCCCTGTCCTGGTCCGGCTGGGGGAGGGAAGGAGGGGGACAGGTGGCAACTGCTACAACAGGACTTCAGTAGATGGGTCCACTACATCACAGGACGTGTCCCCATCAAGCCCTAGGAAGCCAAGTGACCGCTGCGTTTCACGACCCCACGCCTGAGCGGTGAGCGCGAGATGCCGAAGGGCTGTGAATCCTCCCGCCTGCACCGGGCTCCAGGGCGCGGGAGTCCGAGGACAGATGGCCAGACTCTGCTGGCAAAACTCCTCGCTCAGAAACCGCGCCAAACTCCGAGGATAGCATTTGTGAATTCAGTCCACGTGGAAGGCTTTACACACCTGCTCCGGGCCAGGCACCGTTTCAGGCTACTTTAGTGACAAAAGAGAACGTCCAAACTGCCAGCAGAGGCCCTGACAACATCTGGGCAAACACTGGGCACAGGGCAGGAGCTGAGACGAGAAGCAACTCTCAGAGCAGGAAGGAAACGCTGAGCAGAGGTGAGACGATCAGAGGGGACGCCAGAAGTGCCTGTGCCACACGCGCGCGTGCAGAGAGCCCCGGGCTGGGGGCCTGCACTCCGCCCGAGCCCTCCAAGAAGGCAGGGCCGACACCAGGGTGGCCCGGCACTCGGGCAGGCCCAGGGAGACACGCCACGTAGCAGGGCCTGATAGAGAACCACGTGGAGGCCGAGGGGCCACGTGTGTCAGCGGGGAAGTGGCCTGACGCATCTCTGCCTCCACCAGGACACGCGGAGGCCCACGGCAGGGATGCCAGCAGCACCGGCGGCTGGAGGGGAACCGGCTGGTGCCTGCAGGCTTTGTGCCTCCAGAGGGAAAGCTGAGCCGCTGTGTGTTGCCTCCCCGAGGCCAGGCTCACACCGGGGCCAGCGGAGCTGGGGCACAGGACCTGAGTGTACAGTAGGCTCGGCCAGAGCTGGCCGGGGTCCTAGTCACCCAGATGGCCCTGGCCTCAGAGAAAGAAGCTAACCTAGTCCTCGTCTGCCTACAACTGAACAAGGGGCAGCTCGGACACTGACGTCGACCGTGAGTAGAGAGGAACGTCAACAGTCCTCACAGATGGCCAACACAGGGGTTTGTGGGTGTCACAGGACCAGGCCCCAGCCAGATGGGAGCCGAAGGCCAAGGCAGTGCCTCACGAGGCCCGGCGGCTGCCCGCCAATCCCTGGGGCTTATTTATCTCCTTGTTCGTCACGCGAGCCCATGCGGGTCTGGTGGAGGGGAAGCCCCTGGACCACGCACCTGCTTCAGCTGGTCCCGCAGGCGGTCTTCTGTGACGCCCAGAGCCCGCATGCCTCGTGCCCGACACGCCGCCTGCAGCTCCTTGACATTGAGGCTGTCCACCCCTTCCTCAGCGATCAGCTGTAGAAGAAAGTCAACTCGTTACCGTCTCAAAAGGCCACTAGACGTTCACGGTGCTTACCTTCGCACCCTGGGAACGACGTGTCTAAGCATGGGCCACTTTCCTAATGTGCTCTGCCGAGTGACTGCACCACCACCAGCAAGGCCTCAGTTCCAGGACGCAGGGACAGGACTGTCTGATGGGGGAAGGGGCTTGGGGAAGCACGTGTTGGCCAGGACCCACCGGAGAGTCCAAGAACCTGCCTGTCCCGGAGGTGGGGGAGGGGTCGGGGCACCTACGGGATCCGAGCACTCCGCCCTGCCCCACCAAGCACTCTCGGGGTTTGCGAGATGGGGAAGGGAGGGGGAGGTAGGGGGAGGGCAGGAGCGACCCTAGGCTCCGACATGTCTCCTGGCCTTAGCCAAAGTCTCCCCTGCCCGCCCACCCCAGCCTGGGGGAAAAGCGAACAGAAGCCCCAGAGACGGGGACACAGAGCACGGCGTCGAGGGGCCAGGAACGAGGGGGAGGACACAGGACAGCAGGGCTCCTCGTCTGCGCCAGGCGGTGTCCACGCCTCCCCACATCCGACACCTCGCTCGACCCATTTAATCCCAGCGGTCCTGTGAAGAAGACCGCTGCCCCCTTTCTTAAGCGTGTTACCTCCAAGCGACTGTAGATGTGACGTGTGTAACTACAGAGTTCCCGGGTGTCTCCCAGGGGTAACATCTCACAAACCGTAACCAACACGCGACCCTGTGCTGGTCAGGCCGGAAACCTCTGCACCCCCACCGGACTTTACACTGCCCTTCTACGCACCCCCAACCTAGCACCCGCTGATCTGGTCTCGTTTCCATAACTGTCACTGAAGCACAGGACACAAACACGATCGTACAGCACGTGACTTTTGGGATTCCAAAAAGATCCGCACGGTTGTCGGGCCTGTCGATGAGCCATCCCTTCTGCGTGCCAAGTGGCACTGCGTGGTATGCACGCCCTGCTTCAACCGTTCGTCCACAGAAGGCCCCCTGGGCTGTTCCCAGTTTTAGATTCTCACGAAACGATCTGGTCCTCATCCCCCGTGGGTTAGGTGAACTCCGCTGGCGTTCGCTCTGGCACTTCCGGGGGGCCTCCTCCCGCGGCGTTTCTGGTGGCTGCTCAGGAAACTACACAGACACGTGTACCCCGTCCCAGAACGAGTGTCCTCACGGTTCCGGTCCCAGGGAACTGCAGAGACCTCAGCGCCCTCGACGTCCCTTGGTCAGCTCCATTCCGCGTCCCCGGAGAGCCAGGTGCCCCAGCGCCACTGCGGCTCCAGCAGAAGACCCGCACGGAGGAGGAAAGCCTGCTGGGTGCGCCCGCAGCTTCTGCGGCCGTGTCCTTCCCGCCTCGCGTTCCGAGTCTCTTTCTTCTCGAATTTCCTTTGCTTACGGGACCTTCTTCAGGTTCTTCTTCTAGGACAGGTCGCTGCTGACAAAGCTCTTACTGTTCCTTCACCTGAGGTCTGATTTGCTCCTCACTCCTGTGGGATATTTTTCCTGGACACAGGATTCTGAGTCGACAGGTTTTTCTTTAGCACGTGAAAAACGTTCTGCTTCTTTCTGGCTTCTGTGGCTCCAGACGAGAAACTCACTGCCGTCCGTGTTGTCTTTCCTGCAGACGAGATGTTGCTCTCTCTGCTTCCGAAATTACTCTTGTCCTTAAGTGCTCGTTCCTTTGACTATGGGTCGTGGTACGGGTTTCTTTGGGTTTTTCCTGTCTGAGGATCACTGTTTCTAAAATTTATAGATGTGTGCCACTGCATTTGGGACGTGTCCGGCCTGTTTCTTGGAGCACTTTCCCAGCCCTGTCCTGTCTCCGCCCCTCCTGGAAGCCCCACGACACACGCGTCAGTCCCTGGTCCTCTCTCGCCACTTCCTCTCTGGGATCTGGACGGGTACGTGCCCCTGATCCCACTTCCTCTCTGGGATCTGGACGGGCACGTGCCCCTGATCCCCCTTCCTCTCTGGGATCTGGACGGGCACGTGCCCCTGATCCCCCTTCCTCTCTGGGATCTGGACGGGCACGTGCCCCTGATCCCCCTTCCTCTCTGGGATCTGGACGGGCACGTGCCCCTGATCCCCCTTCCTCTCTGGGATCTGGACGGGCACGTGCCCCTGATCCCCCTTCCTCTCTGGGATCTGGACGGGCACGTGCCCCTGATCCCCCTTCCTCTCTGGGATCTGGACGGGCACGTGCCCCTGATCCCCCTTCCTCTCTGGGATCTGGACGGGCACGTCCCCCTGATCCCACTTCCTCTCTGGGATCTGGACGGGCACGTGTCCCTGATCCCACTTCCTCTCTGGGATCTGGACGAGCACGTGCCCCTGATCCCACTTCCTCTCTGGGATCTGGACGGGTACGCGCCCCTGATCCCACTTCCTCTCTGGGATCTGGACGGGTACATGCATCTGTTCCACCCGCGCTCACTGCCCTGCCCTCTGCCCTGCCCGCTCGGCCGCGGAGCCCACCACGTGCCTCACTGTGGACCGCGCTCCCGTGCCTCCGTCCGTCGGGGTCTTCTCGGTCCCTTCTCCTGAGCGGAGGCCGCGCTCCCACATGCCCCGGTCCCCACTGCTGCGCAAGCATTTCATGCGTCCCTTCGAGGTCGCGTCTGGCGTCTCTAACCTGTCCCCTCAGGGCTGGCACCCACTCACCACCTTTCATCAGCCGCTTTGGGACCCTTCTGGTTCTTGGCAGGGACTGATTTTCGACTGGAACCCAGACATTTTGATACTGTGTTCTGAAACTCAGCTCTTACCTGAGACGTCGACCGTCTTAGCGGGCGCCTGACCGTGGCGTGGCTCACGGGGCAGTGTTCCAGCCGACTTCTGCAGACCGTGTAACTGACGATCTGGCTCTACCGAGCGCAACTGACACCAAAGCTCTCCACGTCTCCCTGTGGCCCGGCTCTCGTGGGCACGTGACAGTTGTGCTTCGGATCTGCCAACCACAAGCCCTAACCCGTGTTCACTTCCTGCCCAGCCCAGAACATCAGCGGGCCACTCCCACCGCACTGGTAACGATGCCAAGTCCTGTCGCCCCTCCTCCCCCAGCTCCTGCGTCCTGGTCCGGACACACCAAGGTCTCGTGCAAGCCTGAGCGGGTGCTGTACCCATCTGTGGGGACCTGCGGACAACAGGCTCCTGTCGCTTCTGAGTTCTTTGTGCCATCGGTCAAACCCATAACTGCACCCCGAGTACGTTCCAGGACTGGTGGGGTGCTGCCTTGTTCCTGTCAGGCACCCTGCTCGGTCTCAGAAGACCCCCGGGTGAGAGGTGCGTCTGTCCCCCCTGCTGGGAGGGGAGGGGTCTCTGGCTCCCACCAGGCCCCTGCTGACACCCCCAGAGCGGGCAGGGAGGATCCTGGGGCTGTCCGGTGGGGTGGAGGCCTCAGCTCCACTGTCGCATGTGAGGTGGGAGCCGGGGTTCCCCGTGACATCAGACTGGAGCGCAGTGGTACCGACTGGACTGTTCTGTCCCGCTAGGCGGCCCCTTCCTGTCCTTTGGCAGAGAGCAGGCTCTTGTAATGGTCAGCGTTTCTGGGTGGCCCGCTCCTTCAGCCTGAAGCTGGGCTCTGTGAGGCCAAGCCCCCACTGTGCTGCCCGGGGAGACGCGCGGCCTCCGCCCACCTCCGTCTCCTACACTGGTTTCTACTCCACGTCCAGAGGACCAAGCGCCCGCTCCGCCTGCATGACTGCAGAGGCCTGGCTGCTATGCCGGTCATCAGGATCCGAGGTACTCTGCGGTGGAATGACTTGTCCAAGGTCACAGAGTAAGTGGTCAGGACTCAACCCCAGGCCATCTGCTCGCTAGCTGCCTCTCCTGAGGGGGGCAGCCACACCGGCTCTCCGCGCGAAGACGGCCTGCTCGGCCCCGCGCACCAGCAGGCCAGAGTTCACGACACGCCTGAGACGGTCCCCTTCCGTCCTTACAAAGACCCTGCGATAACCTTATGCACAGCTGTGACGAGGGGTCGTTTCCATCACGCCACCTTCCGCTGAGACAACTGGAGAAGCCAGGGACAAGAAAATGCAACACGCCCCAGGTGTGGAGGCTTCGAAAAGCAAAGACAACTAGGCGTGGGGGCGGCGAGCGTCTGTGGACCGGGACAGACCAGGCTACCACGGAGGTGCGAGCTGTCCATGCCGAGCCACCGGGGGTCCCAGCGGCATTTGCCGACTCGTGGAGCAAGCTGACCGCCCAGGCCAAAGGCCACTGCTAAGCGGGAGACACGTCAGGCGAGAACAGCCGGAGTCCAGGGGCTGCCGAGGCTGCAGCCCAGAGAGAAGGGGGGCAGGGGACAACCCTGTGTCAGGCCTCAAGATGACAGGGCAAGGTCAGGGGCGAGCCCAGGGCCTCCGGGGGCAGACGCCACCGGCTGCGCTGTGCCGGCGCCCCGCGGGATGGGCAAACCGGAGCCGCAGGCCCAGCCCCAGTTTGGCGTAAGACCACAGGGGTCACGGCCTCTCCAAACAGAGCGGACTCGGGAGGCCCCCGGAAAACGTCACCGCCCAGAACCTCTAGCATTTTTTATAATGTCTGTGTTCAAAAAAGCTAAATACTACAAACAAAACCAAGAGAGAAAACAAGGACCCGCAGGGCACTGCTGCTGGACTGATCGGACGTGAGCCCCGGTCAGCATGGTCAGGAAAGCAGAGAACAAGACGGCAGTTTTCCCTGGGAACCGAAATCTTGGGGGAAAAAAACCAACCAAAAAAACGGTTTCTAGGATGGAAGTGAAGGACTGAGCAGAGGGCTTTACGGCTATCAGACACAGAAGGGCCGCGGAAGCGGAGAGGCCCGGCGGACGCACAGGGCGCAGGCGGCAGGGCAGGGAGAACGCAGTGCGACGCGGAGGCACCAGCATCGGGAAGCAGGGCAGCTGCAAACAGACACAGCTAGGCACGTTCTCATCCTGAGTGGCTGGATCCCAAACCGAAGCAGACAGCTGCTGCCAGGGAGGATGAGGAGGCGGCGGACACCTTTGAAGAACAACGGGCCGCCGGCTGACGGCCCTCAGGACAGCACCTGGAGGTCTAGGAAGGACTCTGGCCGGGAGCTGATGCCTGGCAGACACGCCGTGGGACCGGCAAGGAGGACGACGCCCACGCGAGCGAGCGGAGGGAGGCCGTCCCACCGGAGCGTCAAAGGGCAGGCGGTGTCCGGGTGGAAGTGGGCACGGGTGGGAAACACGTGGGGCACTGGGCCAAGTGTCTCCAGGACCGGTGCCGATGCGGGAGGCGGGGAAGGGCACTTCCTCCTCGGGGACGGCCCTTGAGACGGCCTGTGGCACCGCGAAAACAAGGAACAAGCAAAGGTGGCGCGTGGAGCAGTGAGTCCTGGGCTCATCCGAAAGGAGACAAGAGAGGAGCCAAGTGTCACATAAACAGCTGGGGCAGAGGGGAGCACGGGCTACATATAAAATGCCCCGATCAAAAGGCAGAAACGATCAGGCTGCATTCAAACAAACACAAACACAAACACCTCGTAGATAAAAGGGTTCGGGAAGCTTAAATGTAAAAAGTCGGAATGCCAGATGCTGCGGATTTTAAGGCAAGGAGAGCTATTAGAGAAGCAGGGGTGTCCCACGAATCCTCCCTGAGAAAGCACACTTGGGGTGCACAGTGCAGCCGCCTGGCAGTGGGCAGCAAGTGGGCACACAGTGGTCAGCGAGCCCTGGGAGAGTCTGGTTGTGGGCCACGGCCTGCCCGATCTCCCGCCCCCTTGCCCGGAGCCCGGTTCTCGGTCATCATGCTAAGGAAGTCGGCCATCCGGGACAGGCCCTGTGCCACGGGGTGTGCCGCGGGGCTGGCTGGGGCGGCGGGCCGCTAAGCGATGGCTGACAAGCACGCAGTGTCTGTGACAGAGCGCACGGACGGCACGACCTCGGCACTGGGCCCAGCAGACACGCGTGTGCGCGCTGGACAGCCACGACCCGGGAGTGCCAGGCCCCCAGTGACCCGACCGCCTACCATGCAAGATGGCCCAGAGCCGCTGCCAGGAGGACACCCGCAGGGGGAGCCAGAGAGCAGAGCCGGGCTGCCCACCTTGTCGTCGGCCTTGATGGAGCGCAGCCGCATGGTGAGCTGGAAGCGCAGGAAGTTGTTGGTGCCGATGGACTGCAGCTCCAGCAGCCTGCACAGCGCCACCAGCTGCGGCCGCGTGAGGTTGTCCAGGGTCAGCTCGTCCTCAAACAACTTGGAAAAGCGCATGATCTCCTCGTTGCTGGGCCTCTCCCCCGTCTCTCGGATCTGCAGAAGCCACCCTAGGGTCACCGTCAGTGGGGCGTGTCCCCGGCACCCCACAGCCCCGAGCTGCTCGCCCCACGTGTGGAAACAGGACAGCTAGAAGTGCCCTGGACCCTGCATGCCCGACCCGAGCTGCCCTCTCAGGACTGCCCGCCGCGGGCTGCCCGCACGGGCCCACGCCTTTCCTGCCTTTCCTGCCTGACCTGCAGGGCCAAGGCTGCCGACCACGAAGAGGCCACGGGCCTCGCACTGCTGGGCAGGAGGCCCTGCCACCCTCTCGCCACCTCAGGCGTGGCTGTGGAGCAGCCTTCTGCCCCGTCCCCTCCTCCACTCGGCCCCCCAGCTTGTCACACCCACGGGGCCTCAGGTTCCTCATCTGCCAAACTCCCTCCTCTGGGGCTACTGCGAGGTCGAGGCACAAGCAAGTAACTCTGACTGTCAGCAGGTTCGAGTTCTCGGGACAGAGGCCTGACCTCACTGAGCATGGGGAGCCTCTTGGGCAAGCCCACCCGGCACCAAGCACCCCATGCTGGGAGCGCCACTCCTGCCCCACACAGTGGAGAGGGGCAGAATGCAGATGGAAGCCGGTCCCCAGATGAGGTGGGGTGGCCCGAGGCTCTAAGCAGCACTCAGGACCAGTGGGCTGACGCCACAAGGGCTCTGACAGGGCACCTTCTGGAAAAACACGGAGAAGTCCTTGGTGGCGCTCCCTTTGGCCGCCTTGTTCTTCAAGGCCATCTCCTCGATGGTGTCCTGAAGAAACTTGGCCAGCTCCAGCTTGACCCGCAGCTCCTTCTTCAGCCTCTCCTCCTGCCAGGGCAGAGAGAGGGCAGTGCACTCCTCTGGAATGGAACCCCAGCTTCCACTCCTCGACCCGGTGCCCCCCAGAGACGCGTCCCCCGCCTGGGGTGTGCCGGCACCCTTCCCTCTAGCTCCCGGTCCCCGACAGATTTGGGCTTCACCGCCGTGTGGTGTGGAGCCTGCCTCATCTCTGCGGGGGTGGCGCCAAAGTGGTGGACAACACACACATAGCCAGGCACGCATGTCCCCAGAAGACCCCACTGACCAAAGTGGGCAGGGCGCCCAGCGCCGAGATGGTCCCACCCCAGGAATGGGTCACAACCTGAGTCTTGCAGAACTCTGGGTTCCCGAAGCCATAGCGTGAAACCCGTCTAAGGAGGAGTGGCCTGGCCCCAAGCTGGCTGGACTGAGACGCCCACTGCCGGCCCCTGACGCCCTAGTGTGCGCTCCTGGCTGTGTAGCCACAGAGACCACCGGGGCCAGGCTCTGCAGCAGCACCCGCCCCGCCCCGCCCCCATTACCTTGATGGACTGTGTCTCAAACGTGGATGGCAGCATGTTGGGGAAGAGCTTCACGACGACAGGAAGCAGGAACTCCATGAAGGGCACCACCACGAACACCAGGAAGGGGACCAGGCGGAAGAGGTCGGCACAGATCCGGAGAAACTGCGAAGAGGCATGTGGGTCAGAGGTTACGCGACCGCATCCCGTGGAGGCGCCGGGAGCTGGGGGCTCCGAGCAGCCCACCAGACGACTCCCGAAGGCTGTTTCTTCGTCCAGCATCCAAACCACAGCCGCGGCCTTCAGAGAAGCTGGGCAGGCACCAACACCGCGTGGACTGCACCCACCTCCAGGGACAGCCCGCGACCCGCCCGCAGAGGCCCGGACCAGGTGCCCAGCCGGGGTCTTGCTCTGTGGAGATGGTGTGGAAACCTGCCTATGGCCTGGCACTAGCCGGACTTGAGTGACAGGCGGAGGACGGGTCATTGCTGGCAGTGGCGAGGGCCATCAGAGAAGGCTGTGGCCACATACCCCCGCCAAAGGTTCTGCGGGAACGAGTTAGCTGTGCACATCTCTGGTTTCCCCTGAGAGGTTAGATTTAAGACTATGCTTCATCACAGCCATTAGGGAAAAACCCAAGTGCTGCATCAACACAAACTCCTGCTGATGCTACCAAAAGAACGGCATCCTGAGGTCATCACGATCCCGAGACCAGGGACCACTCGCGGTGGGTGCCCAGGCAGCGAGCCCTTGTCTTCGGTCATCGCTACCGAGTGCGTCGCCTCCACTGAGCCTGCGCACCCCGTGCCCTCATCTGCACGTGCGCTCTAACTCCTCAGCCATTTTTTGGAAAAGCGGCGTCATTCCTGGAAACGGCCTTGTTCCGGGCCTGGCGTCCCTCCCACTGGGGCTGGGCCATACGTTCCCTGTGGAGTGCCACTTCCGGAGTGATGGCTGCCCCTCCCCGGCGCAGGTGAGAACCCGCGGTCTGCGAGGACACTCGGACGCATGCGCACTGCCACCTCTCCGCCCCGACGCGCTGGCCACGGCTCTGATGCCCCCGCAACCGTGACTTCCCAGCCCATCCCTCCCACCCACCAACCTTGCTTCCCTGCACATTCGACCTCATAATTGATCATCAAAGTGGACTCGTGGAGTCCTGGTTCTCATTTGTTTACAGTTCATTCCTACTTTTATTTTTATGCTCAGATGGTTCCAGATTTGGCCGTGGAAAGGCCCTCCAAGCTGGTGCCTTCCTGACATTTCTCGTTTAAAAAATTTCAGCTGTTCTACTGAGGTTAATTTACATACCATAGCGTTCACCCATTTTAAGTGTGTAAGTCAACGTTTTTTGGTAAATTTACAGACTGTGAAACCATCACCAACATTCAGCTCGAGAATGCTTTCATCCCACCACAGAGAACCCCTGTGTCCATGTGCGGCTCCCCTCCCTGCCACTCTGCGCCCCAGGCGAACAGTGACCCCACGTTCCTGTGAATTTCCCTAGCCTAGACGTTTCCCACGCATGGAGCCATACAGCACGCTCCTTCCAGGCTGGCTTATGCTGTTAGGTACATAACCGTTTTGAAATGCTGTGCCCTCTTGATGGCCTGACCCCTCTGTGACTATGAAATGACCTTCCTCATCCCTGCTAGTTTTCACTCTGAAATTCACTTTGACAATTAATGTGGCTACTGTGAGCAGCACTGGTCTTTTTCCTTCCTTTTAATGTACGTGTCTTTACGTTGTTTCTCAGAAAGCATAAGTTGGGTCTTGCTTTTTTTTTAACCAAATCTGACAATCTCGACCATTTAAGTAATAAAAGTAAAACCATATAATTATCTAAATAGATGCAGAAAACACATTTGACAAAATCCAAAATCATTCCTTATAAAAACTAATGAAATTTACAAGAGATATTAGAATTAAGTTTGCAAATAAGACCAATATGTAAAAATCAACTGTATTTCTATATACTAGCAATCAACAACTGGAAACTGAAATTTAAAAAGTTCTATGTACCTACAATAGGCAAAAGGTGGAAATGACTCAAACGTCCCCCGCAGGACGGATGGGTTACGGAAATGTGGCGCATGCGCACAGCGGAGCATGACTCAGCCTTCGCAGGGAGAGACTCCGCCACAGGCCACCACATGGGTGAGTCATGCCGAGTGGACAAACACTGTACGGTTCCACTATATGAAGACCCTAAGTGCCCAGATCAGAGACAAAAAGGAGAATGGTGGTTATCGGGGGCTGCGGGGGTGGGGGGGGGAGTGGAGAGGTGTTTAATGGGGAGACTGTCAGCTAGGAAGATGGAAAGTCTTCAAGACGGATGGTGGGCATGGTTGTGCACGAATGGACTTCATGCCATGGAACTGTACACTTAAAAATGGCTCAAAGGGTAAAATTTAGCTGGTGTATTTTATCACCATAAAAACACTCCATTTACAATAACATCGAAATATACGAGACTACACAGTACTGCTGGGACGAAAGGCACACGTCCCGTTTTAGCCCCACTGCACCCCCAGAAGTGCCCCCATGATTTGTTTTCGAGCCTCTCCTCATTTCCTGGCTCAGGTTCACCTATATCACTGCTGTCCCGGGCCTGGACTGGGACATTTCCGAGAAGCCCTGGTTCCTCTTCATGGGAACAGCTAGAAGCCAAGGGCTGGGGGCCAGGTGTGCTCGCTGTTGCCCAGGTGTCACTGCTGCTAGGCCCGGTCATCAAACTGAAAGGCAGCAGAAGGTCTGACAGCACCGATTGGCTGAGGGCCAGTTAACAAAGCCAGAAACTAAGTCATAAAATACCAGATTCATTCATGAGGACGCGAAGAAACCGTGGGTAACTTTCCACAGTGTGCATGGAACAGAAGCGGGGGTGGG